TTCTCCTTAGAGTAATTGTTGTTGTGTTAGGTAGCAGGACTGCTTCTTGAATGGCCTGAAGCTGTGTCTGGGGAGGGTTAGGTTGGATATTAAGAAAAGGTTCTTCACCTAGAGAGTGCTTGGGCACTGGAATAGACTCCCGAGGGAGGTGGTCACAGCACCAGCCTGACAGAATTCAAGGAGCATTTGGACAATGCTGTCAGGCACATGGTGTGACTCTTGGGGCATCCTGTGTAGGGCTAGGAGTTGGACTTGCTAATTCTTGTGGGTCCCTTCCAACTCAGCATATTCTGTGATCCTGTGAGTCCTTGGGACTTGACTTCATCATCTGGATGTGCCAGCTCAGGTTGATCACAACACATCTGTTTCCACAGTAAAAGAGTCATCTGTTCTGTGTATTGTTGTGTTTGTCCCTTTGCCATCATGGTAACAGTTGCAGGTTTTTTTACTGAACCTTATGCTCAGCTTTAGGGCTGATCCCAACCTTTCCTTTCATGCAGTCTTTTACAGGTCAACGATGAAACTAGTTTCATGTTTAGAAACCCAAACAAGAGCAAAAAGCTCAGCTCCAAGCCTGATTTTTCTAAGCTAGTGAATGTCACAGCTTCCAACTGGAGTATCACATTCAAAAAGGAATAAAAAGAGCAGCTTTTATTACTTTCATGATGCCTCCTGCTTCCAGCTGCACTAGAGCAGTCCGTCTGTCTTTCTTCAAGTTCTGCTCACTGAGCTGCTACCCAGTCCCTGCTGTCTCTCTTGCTTCTCTGCTCCACTTTTCATTTTTCTTCATTCCCATTTTGTTTATCTCTTGTTCCACCCTCCCATTTCCCAATCTCTTTGCCTCTGGCACTCTTAGAACAGCAACGCCCACAGTGCTGATTAATCTCTTAACAAACCTCAGATTCAGTAGCAGGAGTTGGAACTCTACCAGGTTTTGGAGAAGACTCTGACCTTCATCCTGGACTGCCTCAGCCAGACTCAAACATGCCAGAAAGGAGGAGATGCAATTGCTTTAATGCTTTTCATCTGTTAATCTGGATGATTCACTTCAGAACTGTAACAATTTCTGTAACCCTCCATTTGAGCAGTCTCTTGTGACACTTATTTTACACACCAGTGTTTACTGGAATGAAAGAATGGAGGACACCAAGACCTCTTCAGGAATGTGCAGAGGTGGATGGTTACAAACAGTTTTGTTGCACAAAATCTGTGAAATGTGGTCTGAACCTTAGTGAAATGAAATCAAAATATATAACCTTATATTTCATAATAGTGCAAAATCAAAATTTAAATTGCAGTCAGCACCTTACTCTGTAGGAATATCAGCAATAGGAACCATATGTAACTTTCATACCATCTCAGTAATATTTTATCCCCAAGTTCCTTGTTTCACCAGTTCAGCTGGAGAATTCATAGATAAATGTGCATGCATTCTCTCTGAATAACTATTTCTGGAATCCTAAAACACACTCCTGGTGATCTTTGGCAAGCTGGCAAGTTGTGTCCTGCTCTTCAAAACAGGATGAAGACTATTTGTGGTCTAGTTTGTCATCTTAAGTTAAGCAAGAGATGAGAACAGGTTGTCCTGAGAGGGTGTGGATGCCCCATCCCTGGAAGTGTTCAAGGCCAGCTGCCCTGACCACTCTGATTTGGTGCCTGACATTCCTGCCCATGACATGGGGGTTGGAGCCCCCTGATCTTAAGGCCATTCTATTATTCTAGGAGTTCAGTCTCTGATGGTGCTTTTAAGCTGACTCTATCTTTACCAAGCAGTCTACAGTTTGAAGAGGAATTGTCCTAATGTTTTTATTTCTTCAGCATGAGAATTGTGAGGCTGGATGTCAGAGCACTGCTGCTTCTTTCTGACATAAACTGCATGAAAGAAATAACCTACAGCATTTTTAATTTATGGTATTCAATACCGGGATATTCTTATTACTCTGGAACAGAGACTATGGATGCCAGTGAGATGCAAATTTTAAATGAGTATATACTTTCCAAAATTAATTCAGTTTGTGACCTCTGTTGATCCTGACTCGGTGCCAGCTATTTTTGAGTTGATATCAGCAATATTGATGCCATATTTATCAGGAGCTGAATGACAAGATGAGATGATCACAGTGCTTTTATGTGGCAATAGTGATTGAGCTGGGTTAGAAGCAGGAAGTGTAGATGCAGGATCAGCATTTCACTCCTTATCCTTAGTGTTCTGCTGCTGCTTAGGCCTTTCTCTGGTACAGTGCCTATTGTCAGGGAGGCCTAGGGAAAGACAATAAGTCAGACAGATTTGTGACTGATTTTTTTAATTCACTTTCCCTGATGCCTGATGAAAAATTGCTGTATCATTTGCCATGGAGATGGTTCTCAGGTGTTAGACTGAGTTTTATGCTCCAAGATAGTTATTCCTGTCATGGTAAAAGCTGCTTGAGCAGGGGTGTCTTGTTACTAAAACTAAAATGGTTTCACGTTTAATAATTCTGGTAATAAGAGAAGTAATAAGTGAGGCAAGAATCACCTACTGAAAAATTATTCTTAAACTCAAAGTTTAGACTGTTTAAACATTTATTTCCTTACACTGAGTTCAAGGAGGGGGTGGTGGTATCAAAACAGCAGAAAACATGGCTAGTTCCTGACAAACAGTACTGAAGTTCAAGAATATCTAAGCAGCAAATAGGTCTAGAGTTTTTTTGTCTTTATTATTTATAGTTGTTATCTATGTGGGTTTTATTGTTCTGAGAAATTACTTAAATCTGGGTGATTCTTAGCAACATATATTGTGTCCTGGTCTGAACTGGACAAACTGCTCACTGACCTTGAAGCCTGCAATGTTTTTGCTCCAAAGATAAGTTTGCCTGCTTCTTGGCATACACATCAGGAGTACTGTAGAAAAGACTTGAAACTCATAGGAAGTATGAAGAGCCGAATGAAAACCAAATAGAGTTAATGTCTTTGTTTAATGCATTTCTAAAATGAAAGTTAGGCTTTCATTTCTCAAATGCAAGTTTGCACATTAAAGCTCTCCTCTTCCAAAGTTACCATTAAAAGAACAAACGTTTAGAGGTATTTGCTTAATGGCAAATTATTTATGGAAGCCATGTCTGTAGATTCCAGGCTTTTTAGCTACATTGTGCTCTGTCTGGGTCAGATTGACAGAGTTTTATTTTGCTGGGACTGAGCTGAAAAAACTTTGGAGGTGTTAGGTACCTAGTGCACAAGTTCCCTGAAGGTCTGTATGATGACAGCATTGCCTTCTGGGAAAGCCTCTCACAGATACCATGTTTTGCATATTCTCTAGAGTTTTAAGAATTAGTGGATTCTCTTTGTCTCCAAACAAAGCCAACAGAAGTAATGCATGTAACATCTGGGTCTATAACCATTTATCCTGCTCTTTATTTTACTTAACAAACATGAAGTCTGAACAGAATGTTAAACAGGATGTGAAGTTGATATTTTAGTGACCCAAATAGAGCTCAGCATTGTAATGTCAGTGCTTATACATACTTTGGCCCTCAAGATACACATTTTTCACTCTGTTGGATCAGATGCAGTATCTTTACCTTATTAATGTGAGGATGTTTCCCTTTCTCATTCAGTTCTACAAATACACAAAATTATCTGCTTTAAAAGTCATACTTTTCTTGTACAGCATACCTGTGCAGAGCTAACTGAATAAGAGAAAATTTGAATCTTGGCTAAAGGTAATTTAAGGACAAGTTTTACAGATCAAATTTTGCTGTTTGATTTCATTGGGATTGGATTTTACCTGAATGCTTTTAGCTCACCCACCCACAACCACTCCCCCAAATAATTTGTAGGACTCAGGCTTCAACATAGGTACATAATTCATAGAACATTTGGTAAGAGAGAGAGCTGTGAATAACTGAAGCAAAGGATAGGGAAATCTAAGCTGTAAAATCCACCTGGATTATGATGAGCTGTTCACAGGAACTCTGTGTTCTCTGAAAGTGGTATATAAGAAACAAATGTTAAATATTTTAACTCATGTTATTTAACATAGGTAATGGTAAACCCAGGAACAATTCATAAAAATGGATTCAGCTTAAGAAAAAAAAATAAATTAGGAAATCCACAAAGTGATGGGAAAGTACATTACCATGACTGTAAAATCTCAAGGTACTGATGGAGAGCTCACACAAGGTCTTAATGCAAAATCCAGGTGCACACCAGAGAGAGAGACACAGGATGGACTGGAACTGGGAGTATTTTTTTTCCATTTATTACCCTTATTTTGAAGCACATTGTATGTTTTCCACTAATAGGAAGCCAGTTAGACAAAAGATGCAGCAGTACTAAAAGGGCACACGGGGAGGGAGTTGGAGCAGTGCCCTTCTGCCCCAGGAGAGATCTCTGGCTCTCCTGTAATGGCTGAAATTCTTTCGAACACTCTAAATAATTACTCCATAAGATGATTGAAAAATCAGGAGAGTTTGCAGGGGAAGGGACGATGGTGATTTTAGTTAATCAAAGCTGTCAAGTGGAAAGACGTGGGTATGCCTAAAAAAGGGGAAGGGATTCAATGGAAAGAACAGATCTGTTTTTCATTGTCAATTGTGGGCACCATGTGTTTAGTTACAGTGCTTTGTAAAACTCCAGTATGCTATGACTAAATGTCATGCAGATTTAGGATGGGCACAATCTCTTTAAACTTGCACCATTCACATTTAGGTGGAAATAGGAGAAAGATGAGAATTTTCTCTTTCTAAGTTGTAAGGAGCTCAGTAAGATAACTATTTTTAAAAAATCACATAATATAATTTCAGTGTACTTCATGTCTTCTCAATAGCCATATTTCATGTGTTTATTTAATGTGAAAGTCTTTTTTCATGAGCAGGATACAAGGGAAAATATGCAAGGTACCGTTGTTTTCTTGTAAAGTTTCACAGATGTAATTCTTATGCAAGCTAAATTCTTCTGTTACCTGCATGGTGTGTTGTTCTTACACCAGGAAAACTGAATTCATGTCTCCTCATGTGTTTCAGGTCAGCAAATTCCACCCTTAGATCCTCATGAAAACAGTAACAATGGAGCAATCAAACTTGGAAGGCAGGCTTCACAGACGGGTAGGCGGTGCTGCTGACCCAACGTGATCTTTGCAGATTTACTTGAAAAACAGCACCATTTGCTTTTTTTTCACTGAGAAAGGACTTCGTGATCTCAGCGACGTGGCTCCTTATCTTGAAAGCAGTAATTTCAATACTTCCCATGAGCAATAACGCAAGGACCAGAAGCAGAAGGCTTTACTTCAAAGGGATTTTGCAAAACCCAGTTGGAAAATCCTCTCTAATATCCTGTCAAAATTACAATGTCAGAGTACTCCGATTCTCTGTTTAAACCAGTGACTGTTTTGGGGTTTTTTTAATAAAAAGATCAGTTTTTAAATAAAATTTAGGCTTGCTGCAAAAACTTATTTTCTTACATTTGCAAAGTGGACTTGGCATGTTTTTAGAGTTTTCTCTGTAATAATAGGGTGAAAAAATTCCATAAAACCTGAATTTTGGCTTACAGTTTCTCTGCCATCTTTTTAGCTGGATTCTGCTTCATGATTTTTCTAAATCTGCAGCTTCATCTCCTACTTTCAGTAAACATCAGCAAGAAGTGGACTGAATTTGCTAACTGAAGAAAAAAACTGATCCAAAGGATGAGTGAATGCAGTTTTTACAGACTGGAAGTCAAAATCTGTGTCAGGAAGTGCTGTGTATGTGGAAGAAGGAGTTGTCATGAAGGAAACTGCTGGACCCCATACAGTTCCAGTGTGCTCCAGAAAGAAGTGAAAATGCAGCCACTGTGTAGAGTGGAATGATTCCCTGTGCAGGGTGTGGTTTTCAATAGCTGCTGAAAATGTAAAAAGAGCATAAATACAGGCTTAATATCCATTGCTTACCAGGGTTCCTCCAGATCTGTGCCCCAGACCAGAGTTGTCTGTGTTCAAAGTTGCATATTCCTTGGTTTCTAAAAGTGGGTGCCACAGTGCCCCACTCCTTGTGGTCTCACTGCTGTGCTCCAAGAGATATTTGAATTCAAAGAACAATATTTCTGTATAAAAAACTGCACAAGAGAGCACAAATATTATTTGGGATTAGAGGCCAGAATCTAAAAAAACAAACATGAATGTTTGCTTACTGATGTAATTCCCTGAATTTGTGGAGTAGTCTTCTCGATTGTCTGGGGATGTGGTGTGGAAGGCACACTATTTGATATCTTTGAAGTGTGATGCACTTGGAAATGCAGTGGAGGAAAGAATTCCTACAGAGGGTTATGAAGTGGAAATAATGTAAAACCGTATGTGTTTTCAACTTCTGTCTTTTATGAATGTGTGTGACTGAGATGATAAAATCCAAATTTATCTTCTTCATCAATTTTATTGGAAGTGGGAATTAGAGTAAGAAATGCTGTATTCAAAGCCAGAGCCCAGCCTGAATTCCGCAACATTAATTTGTTCTCTTATGAGGAAAATTATCGCCACTGCACATTTTCAGGAGGGCTTATGAAAAGCAAACAAAAGGGAAAAATAACTTTCCACAATAAATCATGAGCAGGCAGCCTAGAGCGTCTGTGTTTCCGTGTTGATACACAGAACACCAGACCTTATTGGCTGGTTGTGAGATTGCTTAGATAAAATGTCACTAATTGTTAGAGCTTGAAACAGAGCCAGATAAAATCAACAGGAACATTTTGTCTCCAGAGGGTTTGGAGTAGCATAGGTGGGAAATATCCCTCTGCATTTTACTTGAGAACCTATGCTGTATTGTTTTTTCACATATAAGTAGTTTCTCCTATATTTTAGCTTCCTTTGAAAATACTCATTTTAGAAAATAGGGCCTTGGATATTTTGGCTAAACTTTCAGTTTTCAGCTGTGCTGATATATGATCCATGTCTCTGACTCATTGCAGCTACTATTTTACTGATAATCTAGGGTTATTTAAATGAAAATTCCATAATCATCATTGTTGTTAGCTGGGGAGGGAGACAGGTTCCTTTAGGGAACATTTAATTTCATCCAGGGATGCTTGGCTCTTTCACTTGGGTGGGGAGGGAAAAGCTTAAAAGCTTGAGTGGCCTTCAGTACTGAGGAAATACCAAACTTACCAACATCACAGGTTCATACATTTTATGGGGTCTATGATCCACTGCTGGAGGATATATTATTCCTCCTAAGTAAAACCCTAAGAAAGAGGCTAGACCAGTTACCCAGAAAACAAGGTGAGATTGAACCCATGATTTTAGAGGTGTCATAAACTTTAGTTCAACATATAGCAGTTATCCATAATTGATTTTTAACCTTTTGTAAGTGATTGTTACATAATTATTTTTTTTTTTACCATGGCATCTCAAAACTTACTAAATCATAACTGAGATGTCTGAAAGCTTTGTAAGACAATTTTGTGAGTACCTTGTATACTCTAATTTATATTAGAACTGGCTGATCTTTATGGGATGCTGATCTTTATGGGATGTTGTCCTGAACAACGAGCTCTCACAGCTGGCTTTGAGCAGTATGTGAATCATAACAGGTTTATGAGCTATATATTAAAATAGTTTTAAATTGGAAGTTTTTACAATGGATCTCTGACAGATTTTAAAATTTGAATGGTGACTAAATAGGTTTTGGTGGGGCAAATCTAAATCACTTTTTTCTGCTTTTAGTCAAGAAAAATATTTAAATTAATAAAGAATCTGATTGTATAAGTTCTTGAGATTTGGGTTACTGGAAGCTTCAGTAGGGAAGCCTGAAGCCAGAAGAAAACAGGCCAATGTGCTGTGCAGAGCATCTTGCATTTTCTCTGAACACAGGGCTCACTTTTGACAATATTGTTGCCCCTCTGCTGTTTGTCAAAGTCAAGGTGCAGCCTCTTCCAATGGGGCAAATGTTTGTTAAAAAAATAGTGATGTTAAAATGTAAAATTAATGATTTCTGCTTCCATTGGTTGCCTGTTTTTTCGGGAAGTACCACCACCCTCATAAACAGCCAGAAAAATGACAGAAACCCCCAATCTCAGAGTTGAAAGTTTTAGCAGCAACTGGAATTCCTCTTAGTAGTTAGTGGCTGGTGAAAAGCTGAATTACTGTACTGGAGCACCTGAATGCGTAACTGATCTTCTCTAATAATAATAATAGTAATAATAATATCAACACTGCAGTTCTTGGTTAGCCAGCTGGTGCTGGATTTGTCCAAGACTGATTTTCTCAAGAGAGCTGGCAGCAGGACTGAGGCACAGGCCATAGTGCCAAGGATATTTGGTGGAGCTTGTTTGCACTGTGACTCAGGACTGTGACTGTCCAGTTGAGGGTGACTTGCTTTTCTGCCTTGTCATGAACAAGTTTTAAGAAAAATTATGAAGGAACTAGTTTTTGTATATGCTCTGCATATATGTGTGTATATAAAGTACAGTTTTTTATTGTTCTGCTGACATGTAGTGTTTTTTCGCTATGTCTTGTTGTCAGATATATATTACACATTGTATTCTCTAAGTACATTTTTCTCTTAATGATCATTTCACCTTTATGAACTTAAAAGTTGTGGATCAAAGGTAGCAAGAAGATAGAGATATGCATAGGTACAAGTTTTGACTTGCCATTCTTGTGCATGAAAATGGCATATTCTAGAAAATGTTTGTCTTGCAGACTGAGAAATCTAAAACCAGCCATTATTATTCAGGAATTGGAACTTAGAAGTAATAAAGTGACACTCAAAAAGCTTACTATTTTTGCTCACAGTACAACATGTTATCTAAATTGCTGCAATGTAATATGAGTCTGTTTCAATACCTAAAAAACTTATTTGTCATCCCATGTCTTCACTAATCCTTCATGGCACATGGGAATAAGCGTGACTAGATAGATTACATGTGTGAGCATTCTGGCTGTCATCAGACTGTTTCACTACAGTGATATATTTTACTAACCTACCCTTAATTATTTAAACCAGAGTCAGTGATAAATTTCCAGTTTAAAATCACCTGCTTGGTACTCTTCCTCTGTTTTGTTTATGTAAGGGCTTTGATTGGGCTGGACCCACTCGCTTCATGTATGGGATGCTGCAATCTGTTAATACTTTACCTTATGTTTTACATATTAATTGTATCATACCTAATAATATTTTTTTCCCCTAAAATGTAGTTTTTTGTGTTTTATTTAACCTACAATGATTAATGCTAATAAATGTTTTAAATGCCTCCGAACTGGGGCTATCTCTGGTTTTCAATAAAGCAGAACAAAATAGCTCCCATTTTGCATGTCCTTTGCTCTTGGAAAAGGGCTGTCTGCAGTATGTGGATTACTTGCCTGGGATTTAAATGCTGCTTGAAACGTGTGTGGATGGCCTTTTAACAGAAAGTGAATGCATTCCTAGGGGATCCTGCAGTCCAGATGAACTCCCAAAAACCAGAAAAAGAAGATTTGAAAATCCTTTTGCTAATATTTGATTTATCCATTAGAAGAGAGGGACTTGAGTGGCCAGCATCTGCTTAGAAATTTTGAATAGTAGCTGTCAGTAGAAAGTAAGCTTCCAGTTACCACTTGCTTTGAATAGGAGCAATGACTAGTATGGCTTGTAAGACACTTCATCTTTTGTATACTTTTATTTTGGTGTACATTTATTTTTTCACCCTACTTTATGTCCCTCCCTCAGACTTGTGTCTAGAAGAATTAACACTCTCTTAAGAAATATGCAGTATTTCATTCCCTTTGGTGCTATTGTTTCAAGAGGTATTTAACTACACCAGCAGATTTTTGCACTGTTTGTTTCATATTTTCACAGTTATTACAACAACTATGAGGACTATGAATGAAGAGCTGGGTTTTTAAAGAAAAAAACAGGGTTTTGGAGTAATACTTTCCTGACTGCCATGATAAATTCAATACATAACAGGATGCAAGAAGCAGTGTAACTCAAATAACAGCACAGAGCACCACTTTTCTGTGTAATGAGAAACCAGGGTTTCAAAGAGGTTTCATATGTGGTGAATTTAGTTACTGCTGGAAGATAAAGAGGATCTGTTCCCTGCTTTAAAGCAATTGCAATTATCTTGAAAAAATTATTTTAAGAAAAATCTTACCTCCAGCTGTTCATAAACAAGAAGGAACCCAGGTACATAACTGTGAACTAAAGGGTGATGTACTAAATTAGTGGAACTCCTAAGCCCCTTAACTGTTGTCTGTGTGTTGGAAGATCTGAAGTGAATGCTGTTTTGCCTTTAGGTGTTTGAAGAGAGTTATGCCCTTGAACAGATCAGTCCTTGTGTTGTCAGTGGGGTGTTTTGCATGGCGTGGAAGCATGTGCTTGTGGTGCTCTAGGTTGGAGTTGAATTTAGCAATGAGAGGGGAGCTATACAATTGACTGGAAAATAAATCTCTGCTTTCCTTTTGAAGATTGAAGGTTGTGTC